GCCGGGCGCAACGGCTGGGATCTGGACTTCCGGGGCTGGGTTTGACTTCCTGCTCGAATTCTCCTGGACGAGGGTCTCAGTCCCTGCCCTCAGTCCCCACGGGCTGTACCACGGGGACAGCAGTGACCAACCGGAGCCCCAGGTTCCTTGCAACTCAGAAATCAGAGAGCACCGGACAGCAAGGGGGAGGCCAGTCCACACGGGGTAGCCAAGGCAAGGCAGGCCAGTTTGCGACGGGCGAGTGGAATTCAGGCAGCTGAATGGAGCAGGCACGGCAGGAGAAGCAAGGCAGAAGCCCTCCTGGAATGGGCAGCAGAGGCAGGACCATGGCCAGCTCACAGTGGCTTTGCCCGCTGGCTCTCTCCCCTCATGGAGCCATAGGGTGCTGTTGTCTCAGCAGTGCACGAAAGCCAGCTGAAGCCTCCTGCTCAGCGCTGCTCCCTCTACCGGGGCTGGCTGGACTGGGAAAGGCCCCCCACATGGCTCTGCTGTCACAAATTTTTGCAAGGCGGGGACTGGGGGGCTCGGGGAATTCCTCTTCTGACTTCCGTTCGCGGTGGGGCTGAGCTTTCTCCTGAGAAAGCGGCCGGATCCAGGCCTTCAGCAGCCTCTTGCCGCCCACTGACAGGGCTGCGGGCAGGACCTCTGGGGAGGGACTGAGAGGGGGCCGGGGCAGGGGGAGTGACAAGATGCTCTCCCCCCCAGGACGGACACACTGGAAGGAGAGTGGAGAGAACTCGGCGGTGCATTCTGGGGATCAAGCAGGCAATGAAACGGGCAATAAAAACGGACACAGCGGTTCTGCTACCGGCCTTGGGAGCTTGGAATGAAACGCTGGTGCCACACGAGTCCCTTCTCGGCACTGCGGCTTTTTTCGCCAGTGGTTTGCATGATGTTCTCGGCCCAGCCTTTCCAGTCTGGCGTTGGACTCCAACTCCCATCATCCCCATGCAGCATCGCCTCTGGGTTCTCTCCACCCTTCTTCTCCCTGAGCCGGTACAGACTGCCGCTCGCCCTCCTCCCACCCTGTTTGCGGGGAGCTCGGGGGCCGGGGGGGTGGGGCCGGCAGGGACGGCTGCCGGTCCCGCCTGCAGGGCCCCAGGGTGGGGGGCCGCTCTGCGCGGCTCGCAGGATGTGCTCTCCCTGCAGCACGCATCCTCGGAGGGCGATTCCAGGGCTTCCTGCCGAGGCCCACATGGCCGTGGGGGGCCCGCCGCAGTGCCCCGAAGGCCCCCAGCCCTGCCCCTGCCCCGCCTCTTGCGGAGCAGTGCCTGGCCGCATCCCCTTGGCTGAGCAGAGCGCGGATGGATCGGGCGGGCCGGAATTCCGCTGCAAATGGGGCGGGCGGCTTGGAAGCCATTCGGTGGAAGGACACGTCACACAGTGGTTCAGAGGCAGAAAACTGGCTTCCTGCAAAAGCCTCCGGAAGATGCGGCTCATGCAGGATCTCTTGCGCTCACCATTACGTTTGCCATGAGGCTCCACTTGGCAACTCCGGCGCCGCTCTGTGCGGCAGCCGTGGTAATCGGATTGCTTGAAAGGGGGAGCTTAAATGTGATCTCAGCTGCGATTTCAATGCTGGCATGGGAAATGTGCGGGGATCTTTCAGATGCTTAGAGGTACAGAAATGGTACAAAGAAATGAATGAATGCCAAGGGCCTTCCAGGTGCCCACCCCCCGTCCCAGTCTTTGCCCCCAGCAGCTGCCGGGCCACAACCTCCCCCTGTTGTGCTGGCTGGCACTTGCTGGGAGAGGGTCCTCAGGACCCCTGCGTGGGACCCCCGCCCCCCGGAAGAGGCCAGCGCTGGGAGCGGAGTGGGAAGCAGCACAGTCTGCTGGGGCGTGCGCAGGGGGAAGCTGCTGGGGGAAGGCCTGGGAGAGCCGGCTTTGCTGGGGACTGGAGAGGGGGGGCTCAGCCCCCAGGCACGATGCGGCGCCTGAACCGGCCCCACAGGGCTCTTGTGAGGACGACGCGGGGAGAGGAGAGCCTGTGGGGCGGTTCAGGGAGAGTCCATGGGGGAGGAGGCTCGGCGGGCCGCCCTGGGGAGGCGCTGAGGGCCCTGGGAGGCCCGGGCCGCGCGGTTGGCAGCAGCGCCTCCGGCCAGGGTGTCCGAGATGGCCGACTGAGACCTGGGAGGGGGCTGCTGCCGGTCCGTGCCAGCGCTGCTGAGCCGGACGCACGACCGGCCTGACTCGGGAAGGGGCAGCTCCGGTTCTCCTGGGGCCCCCAGGAGGTCGGCCGCAGAACCTGCACCCCTCAACCGCCACCTCGGCCCGAAGGCGAGCAGGTCCTGGCAGGCCCAGCCAGCCACCACACACGGCCTTCCACAGCTGCCCCGCATACCTCACAGGGAAGAGAAGGTGCAGCGAGGTATTGATTTAAGACACATGCAAAAAGGGGGAGGAAGAAAGGTCTCAAATTGCTCAATTTCTACTTCACACACGCTTTGCAAGACGTGAAAAATTGCGACCATATGAAGAGTCCTGCCATTTAAATCAGACTCAGCTGCCGGTGCCTCTCTCCTGCTGGAGCCCTTGCTGACCTCCGCCTGCAGACCGTGGCACCCGGTGCCCCGGCCGCCGCCGCCTCCTCCTCCTCCTCCTCCTCCTCCTCCGCAAGTTGCGCTCTGAGCCCCGCGGGAATCCCCCCCAGGCCAGGCCTCTCCTTCTTGCCCCACTGGGCACCACTCCGGCCTTCCTCTTCCTCACGGAAGAGTCGGCCACTCGAGCAGGGAGGGGGCCAGGCTGGCATGCTCTGGGCAGCAAAGGGAGGCAGAAAAGGGGGGGCTGCTTTGCATAATGTATTCTTCCCAGGGTGCCCGGCTGACCGAGACGCTTGCTGAGGAGGGCAGGAGGTGGTCCCAGGGGAACGGGGTGAACATCAGAAACGACGCCCAGTGAATTGTCCTGGTCTGAGTCTTCCAGATCGAATCCCTTTTTCACAATGGCTTCAGGATCCAGGCTTCCTGCTTGTCCAGGTTGCCAAGCAAAAGGAGAATCCATGAACGGACGGCCAGCATTCTTCGCTCGCCCAGTTGGGCATCACATTCAGAGCGAAAGGTCTCTCCTTCCTCTCGTACAGCCTAGACAGGAGCACTGGTCCATCAGCCACCGGCCTCCTGCACACACCAGCCGACTCCACTGGCAAGCCGGGGGAGACGATTCCTGCATAACACCCAGTCCTTGATAACTCAAGCAAGCGAGCCGAGCTGCAGGAGCCGAAAAAGCCTGGCGGTGTGCCAGTGCTCTGCTCTGGGGCTGCACCTCCTTATCGGGGGCCCCATGAAATAGGATGAGCGGGCCAGTCCTAAGGCGTGGACTCTCCGTCCCCCTGTCAATCGGGGCACTCGGCCATGGGAGGCCCTTCCTGGAAAGCCCCCCGGCAGCCTCGGGCCCTCCTGGCACCCGGGGCAGGTCCTTCGCTCTCCCAGGGTTTCCAGGCTTTCACCCTTAAAAACGGCACTCAGGCGCTTTTGGAGCTCTGCACTGCAGCTGGCTTTCATCCTGGCATTTACTTCTGGTTTTACTTTGATTGAAACTTACAAGGTCTTCTTTTACCTGGATTTAGCTAAGTTTCTCTGCCATATCATTTTCCGCTTTGTTAGAGAACTGCCCAGAGAACTCTAGGTGATGCGTAGGACAGAAATTTAATAAAGGAAGCATTTTGAATAAATGCATGAATATATCAAATAGGTGTTCAACAGGATGCATTGCCCCCCTCAGCCCCTCCCTCTCCAGCCGCTCTGGGCCACAGTCTTCCAATGCGCGCGTGCATGGGGTGTGCGTTCCCCCACTGACTTCCATGAAGGCGAGCAGAGCGATCGAGTGGCAAGCAGGGAGCCCCTTCCGCACGGTGGCGGCCCCACAAGCCCGTCGGGGAACGGATCCGCAGCCGCCCCCCCGGCCTTTCGCGTCGGCCCCACAGCCCCCGCCCCAAGTGCCCCCTGCCCGCCCCTCGTTCCTGGGCGCTGCCGAGCGCCACCCGCGGCCCGCTCCCCAGAGAAAGCGACAATCAGGCAGAAATACGATAACAGCAAAGCAATTTCCGTGCCCTGACAGGACAGGGTGTTATGACAGGAGATAGTTTATCTCCCGCTCATAATCCATCGCACCAGAGAGCGCATAAATGCTGTGACATTTATACTTTAAATACCTTTTACATCTAGGCAAGTTTTATGTTGCGCATATGCGCCGAAAATGGCCCCAGTGTTAGGCTGTGGAGAGGGACACGTGCCAGGGCAGGCAGCCAAACGGGGGTCCAACGGGGACAGGGGAGTACGGGGTGCGGCTGGGCGTTGGGGCTCCCTTGGGTGGCGCTCTGGAAGGGAGACGGCGGCCGAGGAGACCCTCCCTCCCTTCGGCCCCCTGCTCGGGATCCGGCCCGACACCCACGGCGCTCCTGGCCCACCCGCGAGCCATGGAGCACCCTTGGGCCCTGGAGCCTGGGAAGGGGCTGCGGCCGGCACCCCGGCAGGATCGTTGGGGTCCCTCGCAGCAGAGGAAGGGACGGCGGCCAGCCCGGCTTGGGCTTGGCGCACACGCACGCCAACGGAGGGGACGCAGCGGCTGCTCCTGGCACCTCCCGTCGGTTCTGGTGGCATCTTGCCGTCTCCCCTCGGGGAGCAGAGGTGGGGTGCTGCTTCTGGCGGGTTCTGTGCGTGGAGAGCCTCCCACGGCCCAGAGGGGCGCACGGATCCTGCACAGTCACCCATCTTGCCACCTCACTGGGAGGCTTGTTCATTTATGCATTTAGGGCGTTTCTGGGCCGACCCATTGCTAGCGTCTTGGGACGCTGCTTTCCCCTTTCCCAGCCACGGTTCTGCTGCCATCTCCCCCCCGCCTTCCACCCGGGAGCCGTGCATGCAGGAAATGCCCGAGGAACTCCTTGCCCAGCGCCGGGCAGGGCCTGCCAATGCCGGGGCAGCCTCGCCCGGGGAGCCGGCTCGCCCCCACGCGGTCCCTCTCCCCGCGCCGCACGAGCGCCCGAGGCTGCGACTCACGTGCTGCCACTGGTCAATGATGAGTGGCCGGTACCTCAGGAAGAACTTGAGGGGGAAGGAGTCCGGGTCGGGCCACGAGGACGGGTACTGCCACGTCACCAGCAGTCTCCGGGCGTTGCTGGAGATGGGCTTGGCCACCACGTTCTCCGGAGGGTCCGGCTTTACTGTTCAGCGAAACAGGATGCGAGGGAAGGAGAAGGGCGTGGTGAGCAAGGCGCTTCCACGCAGGCGCGGCCGCTTGCAGGCCCCGCTCCCCGGCAGTGGCCCAGCCCCAGGGTCCCCCCGCCGTGCCCCGGCACCAGCCGGGGAGTCTTGGCAGCCCCTGCTGGCGGGGAGGGGGCCCACCAGGCCCCCTGTGAGCTCGTGCGAGCGAGCGCCCCACTCCAAGCTGCAGGCATGCGCGCGAGAGCGAGCAGCGTCTGTGGCCAGGGGTGCGCTCACCCCTCGTTGGTGCCCCGTTTGCCTGGGGGCACCGCTCTCCCCCGCAGACTCCACCAGCCTTGCGTTGGGCTGTGGAAGACACTGGCGCACGTCCCCCAGCACCTGGCGCAACGGCACCCCCACGCAGGAGCAGGCAGCCAGCGGAGGGGCCGAGAACTGGGGTGCCCCCCCCGCGGCGCCGGCTTGCCCCTCCCTGGGTCCGAGGGCAGCGCCCCAAGCAGGAGTCCTCCAGAGGCAACGGACTGAGGCCCGGCCAGGGAGCCTGTCCCAAGCAGTGCCCAGCATGCCCGGGGTGCGCGGGTGGGAAGGCGGCCCTCGGGCGCAGGGGGGGCCCTGCAGGTGTCTGCCCTCCCTGGCCCCGAGCCGGCAAGCAGGAGCCGGCACAGCAACCGGCTGGGCAGAGGGAGGCAAACAGCCCCGGGACTGCGGGAGGATTCGTGCCCCTGCTTGCCCACCGGCGAGGAAGGCAGCCCGGAGCCGCCCCGCGAGAGAGCCTCCCACTTGGGAGACCGCCCCCCCCCCCCCAGGCCACACTTCGGAGAGGAGATTGGATGCTCCCAGACAGCCGTCGGGGGAACAGGGTGCCCAGCCCTTCTCTCCGCAGGCGGGCAGGCGCTGGCCTCCGAGCAGCAACGCGAGCAGGTGGGACGCACGGAGGCTGCGCGGCAGGCGGCTGAGGCCAGGCCCCCGTCGGGGTCGAGCGCTGCCTCCCCAGGCCTCCCCCGTCGTCCAGCCGCACCCAGTGCGAGGGGCCAGAGCGCAACCCATGCAGGGCCAACATGTGCGACTCCCTGCCGCCCCCAGGCTGAGGGGGCCCTGCGCTCCGAGTCTGCAATCGCCGGCAGTTCTCGGGGAAAAGGCAAGCTGGGCTGAGCAGAGCTTCCAGGCGCCTGCGGCAGGCAGGGGCCAAGAGGCGGCTGCCCAGAGGCCCCTCCCGGGTGGGGGCCAGTCGCCATCGCCCCCTCTGCCGACCCCACCAAGGACGGCGGCCCTTGGCTCCATCTGCCCCGGGAACCAGCAACCACGGGGTGCAGCCCGGGCGCCAAGCCCTGGTGGGCATGTGGGGGCGGGAGAGCTGGCTGGGCCAGGGCTGAGGAAGTGCCCAGAAGCAGGCGGGGGCCAGGCGGCTGGGTGAGCGAGGCGGGAGCGAGCAGGCCGTGGCTGCCGGCAACGTGCCGGACTGCAGCCCCTGTGATCCTGGGCCACCGGCCGTGCGGCTGGGCCGATGGGACTGCGTTCCCGAGCAGCCGGGGCGCAGCTCGCCTGCCCGCCTGGCTGGCTGGCTGGAGGCCGCTCTCAGCGTGGCCGGCTCAGGAACGGCCGGCTGCCGCCGAGGGCCAGGGGAGGAGGCGCCCCGAAGCGGCCTCTGCGAGCCCACAGGCCCTGCGCATGGGGCAGCCTTGGGGAGGCGGATGCTCCCGGCCCTTGCCAGGGGGAGTCCAGGCGTCCCGTGCGGATGGCCTGGCGCGCGCTCTTCCTGGAGCATGTGCCGGACCGACTGAGGCCCCCTTGTCAGCCGAGCCCCCACCCAGCCCTCTGCCTGGCTGGCTGGCTGGCTAGCTGGAAAAACCTGGCCTCCTTCTCACCTAGCAGCTCTGCCCCAGTTAAGAAGCCCTGGTCAATAACTTGCAGGAGCTGCAACTAATGAGACGAGTTAATCAATTGATTGCGTCTGCTTAGCTCTGCAGGTGGAAAAGAAGAGATGGGAACATGAAGCAATCGATCGGAAGGAAGGAAGGAAGCAGGGGCCTTTGCTGGAGTCCCCAGCGGTGTCCCTGGAGGGGGCTGGGAAACGGGCCCTGGGGGGCCACGGCTGCCAGCCCCCTTCAGCAGTGCTGGGCGAGAGGCGCTGAGCAGAACCTGAGCTGTGCTCGCCTCTCTTGCCGATGCTTATTCTGCCCTTTATCTCATGGTTCAGGGAGAGCTCAGGGAGAGCGTTCCGGCCAACAAGGGGCATACAAGTCTCCACACGAGAACAGGAATCCAGGCCCCACACCCGCGATCACAGAAACACGGAACGGCAGCGGGACCGTAGGGCTGGGCGCAGCTGGTGCAGGCCCCCGTCCCACCATGCGAAAGCACGCGCCGCGCGGCTCGCTTGCAAGACTGGACCCTCCCTCCCAGAACGTGGGAAGTGAAGGCTGAGGGCTCAGGGAGCCTCAATGACACGCACCCCGGTTTCAGTCCGGAGCGGCAGCCAGGGCTCACCAGTACAAGATCCTGGGGACCCCCGCCAGCAAGCACGGCGACCTCTTCCCCGCGCTTCCCGGGGCTTGTGCCTGCAGCTGGGGGGGCCCTTGCAGCGCCCCATGCTGCAGCCCACATGTTTCTCTGGAAGCTGAGGACCGGTCCAGTGTGTGGCTGGGAAGGAAGGAGCGGTCCGGGCGCCTCCCCCCTCGGCCTTCCAGCTGGAGCGCAGCCCGGGCCCGGCCAGGACGGTCCTCTCCCCTAGGGGAGCTGCGCCACAGAGGATGCCGCGGGCAGGCCCGGACGGCTGGGGCAGCGAGAGCCCCTGGCCCCAGCACTGCTCCGTGTCACCGCCAGGGGGATGCAAGCGAGGCCGGAAGCATGCGCTGGCTTGCCGCGTGCAGCTGCGGGCGGCGCATTCCAAGAATGCAAGGGAGTGCGGAGCCATCGGTCTCCCGCATCAGCAGCAGCCGCACTCTTTCCACACGTGGCGAGCGCTGGAGAAGCCTTCGCCTTCACCTGCTCCCGTCCCTCCCCGACCCACGGACCTTCCGTCCTCCGGAGCCACGGTGGGTGCTTGGGCCTCCGGCAAGAGCAGCCGGGCACTGGCCACCGGCCCCGTCCTCCCGGCCGCCCACACAGCTCCCCGGCCGGACCTCGCGTGCCGGAGGGCGACTCGCCCAAGGGTGCCCCTGCGGCCGGAGCGCTCTGCCTGGCGCAGAGAGGGGGGCAGGAGGCGCCTGTGGCGGGGCTCGTTTCCTCCGTTCGCGGCCGCACAGGGCGGGCAGCTGTGCAGACTCCAGCTGGCTGTGCACCCCCCCCTATTTTTGAGTCCAGGCCTGGCGAGGGGGGGGGGCTGCGGCTTCCACAAAAAGGGCCTTGGAGTCCGAGCACATCAGGAAAGCCATAAATCCAGCAGTGGCTCTGTGGGCTTCGCAGGCTTTGGCGTCCAGAGGAGTGTGCAGAATGGGCCTCGATGTTTCCCATGCTCGGCTCCGAGTCAGAGGCTGTTGCAGCCCCGGGGTGGAGAAGGGCCGGGCCGGGCCGGCTCGGCAGGAAGCCCTGTGCTGGGGAAGGGCCCACTGCCTCCAGCTCTGCAGCCGCTTGCTCCGCAGGTGTTTCGCAAGGCGCTCGCCGGCCAACTCCTCCTCCCCTGGTGTCCCTCCAGTTCCAGTTGTGTCAAGCTGCAGCAACGTAACCATGGCGAAGCGCTCGGATCGTGCGAGGGAACTGGGCCGGGGGCTGTCGGGAGCAGATGTGGGGAGGCTGGCTGCATACGGATGGGCGGGCGAGGCCGGCCGGACGAGGCGGAGGACGAGCGACGGGCCTCGAGGGCCCAAGGAGAGCTCTGCGGGGTCAGGCCACCGGTCTACCGAGCCCCCAGCTCTGCTTGCAGCCGCGGCCCTCCAGAGGCCTCCGTAAGCCCCACACCACCGGCCTCTGGGCAGCTGGTCTCCAGTGCTGTGGGGCATTTGTCCACAGAGGGGCAGAGCAGCCGTTCGTGCTGGCTTTGCCCCGTCCGGTGCCAGCCAGCCGTCTCGCTGCAGCGGACGCTGCCCATTAACCGAGCCATATGAAAAAGAGCGTCCCTCACTCCCCCCCAGACTCCATCAGTTCCGCCGGTTTCTGGGGCATGGAGGGAGGGAGGGAGGGAGTCTTCCCGTTTCTCCACCGCCTGTGAACCCTCCTTATCTACTTCCATGCAGGGTGTCCACTGGGGGGGGGGGTGGTCCCACCAGGTAGGACAAGTCTTCCTGCTGGGACTGGCAGCAGCTCGGCCAGCAAGGACGCCTTCGGGACGCCTCGGCCACCCGCGCACGGCGTGTTCCGCAGCGCACGAGACGGGTGGTTAGCTGTTGCTTTCAACGCGTGCGCAAGCGGCAGCACGAAGCGAGACGCGGGCACGTGTGTTGTGGAGACACGGCCGGGTGGAAGGGGGGGCTGGGTCAGGCATCGCCGTGTGCAGCTCCAGCTCTGGGGCCCGCAGGTGCCTTGCCGGCTCCCGAACAGAGCGGTGAGGTGACCCCGAGGGTAGCCAGAAGCTTCTCCAGGTCCACGTGCCCACCTGGGGGCCGCCGGCAGGAAGGAGCTCGCCGAGGAGGCCTTCTGCGAGGTCTTCCGGCAACAGGCCCACGGAGGCCACGTCTCCCCAGTGGGCCAAGCTGACCTAGGGGAGCTGCGGTCAGGAGGCGAGCGCTGGCCTCCAGGAGACGTGGCAACGGACAGGGAAAGAGAAGTGTCCGTGGAGGAGAAGCCCGCCGATGGCCGAAGGCAGCCGCTGGGACAGGCGGTGGGGGAGCCACGGCGGGAGAAGGCCCCGTCCTCGGCTGGCCACCTGGCTTCCCAGAAGCCTCTGCCTGGCCACTGCGGCCTTAAACGCTTCCCAAACCCTGGTGTGGGGCCATTTCTATGCTCCCTCCTAGTTGTACGGTTGATGCCGGCTGCGCAGGGAGCTTTGGCTGCTGGGCAAGAGAGAGGAAATCAATGGATGGAAGTGCAGGAGAGGGGTGCCCCGTTTCCTGACCCGGCACTGGGC